TAGTTGTTCTTCGGCATGCGTTTCTACGTTCTTTTTCAAATCAAGCCAAGTGTCTGCCTCATAGAATATCGCAGTATCGTCTGCGTATCCAATTATTTTCCCAACGCTGTCCAAATTGAATAATTCATTTAGATATAAATTGAAAAGCAGAGGACCCAGTACCGTACCTTGTGGAACTCCACATTCTATTTGTTTTCGATTGCTAATTGTATCTGCAATTCGCACAACTTGCATTATTTTTCGAAGATAGCTTTCAAAAAGCGTTTGGCAGTTCCCTCTGATACTATTATTATCTAAAGTTTGTAGGAGTAGTTGATGATCGACAGTATCGAAAGCCTTCGTTAGGTTTATAAATAGACATAAAGAAGGTTTTCCTTTCTCCAAGGATTTATGTATCAATACTAACCAAAAACGTAAATTTTAATGTCAAGTTCAATTACTCCAAAAACAGAAGTTTTATTGAGAAATAATGAAGTTGTGAAGTTTTAGTGCGAATTCCCAATTAGCTACATTTGTGCATAGCTACATCGGCTTAAATATTATAAAAAACACTTAGATAGGTCGGGGATATTATCGCAGATTGAGTTACTGTTGGCAACTTTGTGTGTTTCAATTGATGCCAGCCACATGTTTCGCCCTAGTCAGTAATCAATCAGTGTGCTGAAGTTGTTTCATTCAAATTAGGTAATTTTATGATTTATAAACAAACTGATATCAAATAAAGTATTATTTTATCAAAAAAGACGTTAGGAGCTTCCAACTGAAATAAACCGCAGGCACGGCACCAAGAGGTAGAGAAGTCGTCAAATTTGTTGTCATCATGATTGCAAAATATACAGGAAATAAGTAAATGAAAATATTGTTATTTGTTGAGAATTTTATTTATATTGAAGAAAGCCATAACTGCTCAAAAACTAAACTAAAATTTCACTTTTCGAAAAAGTTCTGCATTATTAACCTTCCATCGTACAATACACAAGAATAGCCTACCCTTAAATTGCATCGAAATTTCGATTGCAAATGCCAACACCGAGGCCAAAACCGATGCCAAAACAAAAAGTTAGTATACACAACCATTATGGGAAATCAGTGGTGACTCGGGTCATGGAACCTTGTATTATAGTTATTTATGTATCAAGGGAATTGGGCCTTAATTACCGATGGCAAAGTTTGCGTCCCGAGGGCCTCTGGCCCGAGGGACAGCAATTGCCTGAGGTTATTAAGGCTCATTAATTCCCGTTGGAGCTGTTCCAAACGAATCTATTTACGCATTTGTGAAACTGAGACTCTGTTGGAATACTAATATTTAGGAAGTGAGTAAAGTAAAGATCACTTTCAGCGATACTAGAACTTTCAAGGATGGATTTTCGTATAGAATGAAAATAAGTTTTCGTATATTCAAAAACGGCTGATTGGTATTGCAATATTGCTTTTTTCTCGAAGAGTTGTTAATGTTCCATTATCTATGTTGACGAGTGAGCGGACCTGGATCATTGTTCACTTTACAATAATTTTATTTATGAGTAAAAACTTTATTAAAAATAACAATTATCATTTCAGTGAAAAAGAAGAACGAAACGTTTTGTCACATAAGTTATTAGAAGAAATCTAACGACCTTTGAATAACACGGAGTGGGGAAATCCTAGAGTTATCGTGAGTTCACAAAACTTGTTAGGCTTGGTGAGGCATCATATACTCCACTGAAAATAACTGTCATGTAAATTCCAAAACACTTAATTTCCACACCTGGATCATTTGAGTAACTGATGCTATTTGCCAATCGGTTTATTTATCCTTCCGCTTCCCCACCTCCTTCTGCTTCAGCTTCTGTCGTCTCTTCACCTCCGTCTCCTTCCTCTTCACCTCCTTCGGCAGCCTCACCACCCTCTCCTTCCTGACCACCTTCCTTCCCTTCCTTCTTATCGCCTCCTTCCTTATTTTTATCGCCTTCTTTTTTGTCGCCATCGTCACCCTCTCCAGCAGCACTTATCAGCGCGATATTGTGGACGTATACAGCTACAGTACATCCTAGTATAATGAGGATGAGCCCGAACGGATGAATTTGGAAATCTGGTTTCAGTAGTTTTTTACACACCATAGTTCACTTTAAATTTGATATAGAGGTTGAAACAGTACTGTCATATCAGATAAAAGTGTCACATGTATGGCATGTACCTACATGTTTGACGTGAATTTGTTTGTACAGAGTTACATCTGTGGAACTGGAAAAGGAGGTATTATGGATAATAAGTTGCGCATTGAAGGCAGTCAAACGCACGTTAAGAATTGTAGCAGTGCAATTCTAAAAATATTGAGATTACTCTACCATATGGTGAAACCAAGATTCAATGATGTCAAAATTTGATGATTCAACGAAAAATACAAATAATTTACTGTATGAATCAAAAGTTATATTACTATGAAAAACTGAAGAATAGTAAATACATAGCCGAAAGCCAAATTGATTGTATGTAAGTATATACCATATAAACATAGACTTTAGAGACGGTAGCCGATTGGGTTGGCGAGGGTAGTTTGCTCCACTTACTCAATCGACCGCTGTGTGAACCGGTGGTTCAAGCCGCGCGGCAGGACGATCGATTTTAACTTCCTATCGTACAACCCGTGCTAGGAATCGCACGTTAAAAGATAAAATCTCGTTAATCCTCAGCACACACCATTTTTTACTGAGAGTTGTCTTTGGCAGAGAAGCGACAGCTGGTTAATAGAAAAACCTATTTTAACAGATTTTTTTCAATATATTATCGGTCAAATGTATCATATATAAAGATTTCTTCTAAGTAGAACGTTTATCCCTCGACTTAGCTGTGGTTTCATAGACGTTCAGATAAGTTGTGCTACTCATAATAATAATATTTCCAATTCATCAATGATTGAAATATTGTTTTACTCAAGATACAAAACAACTCTGCCTTTTTGGTATTCAGAAATATTCCCTGATATTATTATTATCAGCATCCTCTATAATAGAATATTATGACCAAATATATGAAGTCGAACAATTGTAACACCTGGGCGGAAAAGTTCCGGGACTTAGAAAAAAAATGCGTTATTTTGTTCAAAATTGACCACACAATCATTCCAGCGCCGCTCTAACATTTCAATACCACTTTTGTAGAACGATTTATCCTTCGCCTCAAAATTGGCCTCTGTTTCAGCAATAACCGCTCAATTCGAGCAGAATTTCTTATCTGTGACTATTTTCTGAGGTCTGCGAACAGCCAGTAGTCGCTGGGGACCAAATCTGGCAAATACGGTGGATGTGGGAGCAATTCGAGGTTCAATTCATGTAGTTTTGCCATTGTTTTGATTGAACTGTGACACGGTGCGTTGTCTTTATAAAAAATTTTTTTTTCTTTTTCATATGCGGTCGTTTCTTTGTAATTCTGGCCTTCAAACGGTCCGATAACGCTATATAATATTCACTGTTGATGGTATTTCCCTTCTCAAGATAGTCGATAATATTACGCCTCGCACATCCCAAAATAACGAGGTCATAACCTTTTCAGCCGATTGTTATGCTTTCGGGCGCTCTGGACGAGGTTCACCAGTTGCTCTCCACTCAGATGACGATCGTTTTGATTCCGGAGTCAAGTGATGGATCCATGTTTCATCCATTGTCACATATATCGATGCAAAAATGTTAGTTTGTTATGTTTAAACATGGTCAAACACTGCTCAGAATCATCAAGACGTTCTTGTTTTTGGTCAACACTGAGCTCGCGCGGCACCCACTTTGAACAGGGTTTTCCCATGGTCAAATGCTTATGAAATATAAAGCCAACACGTTCTTTGGATATCTTTACAATGTCAGATAACTCACGCAACTTCACTTTTTGATCATTCAAAACCATTTTGTGGATTTTTTTTCTGGTGTTACTGCCTCATTTGGACGTTCACTGCGTTCTGCATCATCGGTGTCTCTACGACCACGTTTGAAGTCAACATACCAACGTTTAATTGTTGTTTCTGATGGAGCGAGGTCCTTATAACACTTTTCAAGCCGTTGCTTCGCTTGAACTGTATTCTTTCCCATCCTGCACCGACACCTGTTAGATATAATCCAACGCCCTTCGTGGTATTACTCAGGGAAATAGTTGTTTCCTGATAGGTGTCAGTCCATTAACCTACAGTGTGGGTAAGTCGAGACTAGCCTGAATAAATTGTTCTTTTGGTTAATTTTATTTACGAAGATGTGTAGATTATACAAAAAAGTAACTTTCAGACACTAACTGGAAAGTTATCGAGATTGGTGCTGAAGAAGAAGAAGAACGTTATTTCCAGATAGGCAAGCCTAATATAAACATAATTAACGTACTTTATCTAAATATAATACATAAAAATCTAAATAAATTAGTCTATTATAACCAAATAACAGAAAATCCCAAAAAAAAAAAACTATATCGCACATATTCTATATAGAATGCACGTTTACATATTTACTTATATATTCATTCAAAACAAAGTCTTAGTAATATTATTCGCATTCCACGATTTTGTAATTTTTGTAATTGATTTAATTTGTTCTGATTCAAGAGATATAAGAGAGTCCCGCAAAAATTTGCTTCATAAGTATTATTTATTTTTGGTATTGGTATTACTTGCCTATTTTGAAGAGACGTATTAATAAAGTCAGTATAACATGCCCCAAGGTGTTGAATGTCTCTTTTAGAAAGACTGTTCATTATCTCAGATCTATTAATTTTATTTATTGAAAATATTATATTTTTCAACTGCGGCAAGTCTATCTGTTTAAAAGAATTTAATTCACAATTTACTATGTCGAAACTGATTGAACTCCAATCTGACTCAGAATTTACATTGTTTATAATTTCACCTATACTATTGATAAAATATTCATTGAATGCATTTGCAATATCAATTTCTGTGCTACAAACTTTTATTTGATCACCGACATTGAATACTATCTTTTCAAAATTATAGCTTTCAATTGGATTTATAAATGATTTTGAATTATTCCACATTTCTTTCGCATTATGTTTATTTTCATCAATTTTCTGTTCATAATAACGCTATTTCTTTATTTTTAACATATTCACATAGTCATTTCTCACTCTCTTATAATTTTCTCAATTTATATGTTTACTTAAGTTTGTACTTTGCTTTAATTTCTTATAAGCTAAATCTCTTTCCTTTCCTTTGATTTTCAATTCACTATCATAGTATGGGACTTGATTTGATTTTATTTTAATAGTAATAATAAGACAAGTCTCATATTCCGAAACATGTACTGCATTGACGATGACAGTGTTCCATATAAATGAAATTTTGCCTCTTCCATATATTACATTGTGTAGAAATCCTGTGTATGATATCTGATTCAAATCCATAAGTAATTGTTTCGAGAGGGCTTTTTCTGTCAGTTTCTGTCTGAAGTAGGAGTTGGAGACTATGAAAAATAATAATTCGTAAGTTTTCAACCAGAAGGGAATTGAAGTAGCTCTAAAATTAGGTATCACAGGTTACACAATGTTTGTAATGTGTGAGAGGATTAAACTGTTACTGGAAATGATTTAGAATACAATTAAATCAAAGTATATGACAAAAAGCGCATTTCTGTCTTTAATCCGCTATGGAATTTTTTCTGTAGGTAACTATCAACACTGTGCTATAGTCGAAGTAACTGGTATTGTGCATATTTAAAGTGTCGGCGTCCTCAAAGGCCAAAAAAAACAATACAGAGAAATAAAGCCGCTGTCAACTAGTCCACGAGGACTGAAGAATTGGCGGTTCGTATTAAATGATTTTTACTAACCGAGTTTTATGATTGGCTGAAGAGTCATAAAATTGAATTTGAAGTCATGTTACGGTGACGAATAAAATGCGAGCCGTCGTGTCGTTAATGTTCAGTTCAGGAACTGATCGCGATTTGAGTGTTGAAATTCGATATTGGTGCAGTTATAATGACTTAAAATTTTTGTTATCTGTTTGAAATGTGGCGTCCTTGGACAAGTACTCATAGTACTAACGAGTGTGATAACAACGCAGACTGTTTCCTGTGTAGTGACACAGGGAGTATGTTTCAACGTATATAAGGATCTACATGTTAAGTTTGGTTTCGAGGGAAACAAACTAACACAAGGTACATCAGGTTTGACCAAATTCCTTTCTCAACTGTACGTAACATAGTCAAATACAAACCTTATGATCGCAAGACGCGATGTGATACGGGACTACCAAAACCTTTAGATATTCATCTAATAAAATCATTGAAAAAAACAACATACGACTGTTACAAAAGCAATGAGATTTCTACAACTGAAATCATAAGGAAGAAATTGAATACTTCCGGCCATAACGTGAGCTGCTGTGACAAAACTCTTCAGAATTGGATAAAGAAACTAGGATTTAGATTTGAAATAATGAACAAACGTCAAGTAGTTATGAATAGCAGAAGCATAGTGGAATTGCGTAACAAATAATTAGAACAAATAACTAAAGATAGACAAGAACAACGGCAAATTTTCTATTTGGACGAAACTTGGTATGACATTCACGACACAGTTACGAAAGGGTGGACTGATGGTTCTTGCATGATCTAAGTACTACACATCTTTGTATAGAGTTACTTTTTTCGAAATTGATTGCTTCTTTCCTTTCTCTGGAAGATATCAGGATGGGGAAGTAGAATGCCAAAACGGTTTTTTCTCAAAAATGCTTTCATTTCATGCCCTAGAAGTTATTAACGTGAATCTTTTGTAAAAAATGTTACTTATTTATTTTCCTTTTCAATAAACATTTATTTGAAGAAGTCTGACAAAGTGTATCGGAATTACGGAATTCCGAGTCCCAAATTCAAAAATCGATATCCCCGAAACTGGTTATCGAAATTAAAAAAAGTAAATGTCATTATATATATATAATTAAAATACTGTTCATACAAAATATCACAGGACCCCTTTCCATTGAAAAAAAGTTGATAACACCCTTTTGGCTGCAAGTGATGTCACACTATTGGATTTTTTCAAAAAGTACTAAAAATGATTCCTTTTCACAAAAATTTTGTCTGACTCTGTTCGTTCGAAAGTTGAGAGCACTGTATTTCTAAATCTCTCAGTTTCATTTTTATATTGAAGATTTTCTAACATAACATAAGTCGTGTATTCTAACACGAAAACCACATATCTACTATAAGTTTTTATTTTTACACAGAAGATGATTGATGTTATACCATGATAGTTCATCAGGCACCAAAAATTCAGACCATGTTCACACTTTCGAAACATCTTCAAAAATGACGCAATGTCCTAGGAACTGTTGCAGTTTTTGCATTCTGTGATTTTTTTCACATTCACGGTTCTCAATGCGAGCATACGGAAAGCGAATAAATGCTTGGGCGTTGGCAAGGTTATCGGTAACTATATAAAATACAGAGTAATTGTTCTAACTGTATCACTTTGTTTCATATCAACAATACAGAACAACATGAACACTTTGGTAAGTCATACATTATTCATTCATCTATGAAGGGGTACAATTATAAATATGAAGGAAAATCGTCAGCCCGGAATATTTTCCAGGGTTTATTTTAACAGAAGAAATATATGAATATATTTAGTCAATACAACTATAGTTTTCCAAAAAATAATTCTTCGTATTCATACAATTCACACTGTAAAAAGTTGATAAAAATCAGAGAAACATTCAATTTAAAAAGTAGAAATTGCTAAGCAAGCGCGTGGAACAATACTTGAAAAAATTAATACTTTGAAGTGAACAACTACATGTCATTTTTTTAATTGTTTCGTTCTCAAAAGTGAACATTTATATTTTATGATGCCGTTTCAAGTATTTTACTTTTTTTATTTAAAAATCTCTCACGTGTATATCGATATGAATAGCTTTCGACAGTAAAAAATGAATTGAAAAGTTGTTTACATCTACATGAAATGAAGTATTGTAATGATCGATTTTACCGTTTACCCGAGAAGTGTCTGATACACAACTCCGCAATTTATTTATTGGCATATTTTGAAAAATGCACATTTTTGACTGATTGAGTTAAAGTAATAAACAATTATCACTTCAAATCCTTTGAAAAGTCAATGCAGGACCTACAAACAGTACTCATACATTTATGTTTATGATTTTAATATAGCAATGCATTTTTTATTGAGAATTGATTGAAATGATTTGTATAGAAAATCATAACTAAGTACTTCACAATTTAGTCAAACTATAGATATTCTTTGTTGCAATTTAACAACACCTTGGTAAGTCATACATTTTCATTCATCTTATATGAAAGATAAATGTAAATATGGAGAAAAATCTGTTATAGGAGAAAAGTATATTGTACAACAAGTGAGAAAGACGACAAATTTCTCACGAGCACATCAAGCGAGTGAGAAATATGTCATTTTCTCACGCATTCATTGTGCACTGTACTTTTTCTATGGTTGCGTTGTTATTAAAATACATATATATAATAATACTTGTATGTCATTAACTCATTTTTATATTTTATTTGAAATACTAATTAATAGTTATATTTGAAAAATTTTGTAAAGTAATTCCTGGTAGGTCGTTTTGTTTCAACATGTTTTCGGTAATTGGAATATTAGCTGCGGTCGAAGTTGAAGTTGATGGGGAAACGTACTGAGCATTAACTGAAATAGTCACAGATAACCTTCGGAAACAGTGGCCAGTATATTATTCAGGGTTCGGTAATTGCAAAAATTTCGCTATTTCTTTCGCCATGGTACTAAATTCATTTATCCCCACAGGCCGTTTCCTACATTTGCTATTTTTGTAATTATAAAAAAACGTGTTTCATTGGTGCATGGTCTAAGCTTCACATTTTTTTTTTTGTAAATTTGGTAGGATTCTCTGTGAAATTTCTAGGAACCTTGGTTTTAGTATCTGGTAATTTTATTGAAAGGGCCGAATTAAGGTCTTCCACGTCATCAATTTTTTATTTTCGAAGTTCATCACAACGACATGCCCCTGTAAGGCCAATAGCTAAAGCATCCTGAAATCAAAACCAAACTTTCATTTTTTGCTAACAATTTAAAAATTTTCAATTCATAGCACTTTATCAGCAAATACTTTTCATCAGGTGCATCTTTCAAACATTTTTGAATTCCTTCAGAAGTTAATGTTTTTGACTATTTTGGAGCATATTTTTCAGATTTGCGTTTTAAAAATGCACGTAGTTTTACGTATTTTGATACCTATATCAACACAGTTTTAAATAATTAAGGTACTCCTCAGCATCGAGTACTGAGACCATAATGTTGATGATTTCAATTTTCTTGACAACTCTTCAAAATAAACTAACAAGGTATTTTCGGAACAAGAATTTACCTTGGCTTTCATTCTCCAGTCCATAAAGTTTCTGTAAGCGATTTCATATTTTTCTCTTGATGTGCTTGGTAGCAAATTATTGCAGACATCTATTGCTTTCTGAACAATTTCTGGAGGTGTATTTTCCAACTCTAAATCTTCGTATTCCATTGTATTCAATATTTAATAAATCTGAACTGTTTATACTATAACAATCAACAATAAAACTATTTTCGTTGGGTAAGTTGACAGCAATAATTATGCAATCGTCGCGTCGGCGTAGCGTTGTCAACATGGAAAACGTGTCATCTCAATCTGACATGAAAAAATTCATGACTGACTTGGGTTTTCGTGATAACAGTGAGAAATTATTTCTCACTGTAATGGCGGATATTTCTCACTGGGTGAGAAATCTTTCGTTTTGAATATATGAAAACGATGAGAGAAGTGGCACACTGTATAGCATCCGTAGAAAAAAATTAATGTTCTTGTATATTTTATCATTTTCCCAGAAGTTTCTTTGCAGAACATCTGCATTTTATGAAACTCATACTATAAAAAATTTGTCCAACTGCATTCAAAAATATAAGACAAATCTATGAAAATATTCAATATTAAACTTTTACTTTAATTTCAACCATTCATACATTTCTGCTCATGAAATATTTTCATCAATAACTAACTGTATATATTCGAAAGTGCCATTCAAAGCATTTAGTTATTCATCGAAAAAATCATCATTTGATTTTGACCACGGACAATGTAATGAAATCGTTTATAACTAAACGTATAACTGAAAGCACCGAAACAATCGACAATAGTTTATTGTGAAATGTCTGATTCAGAATTTGTCAACTTCTCAATTAATTTTTTCAAAAAGTAAGACAGACGCTCATTTCTGACCAAGTGTGATTAATAATATACCCACTTTCACTAAAAACGAATATTACATTTTGTGAAAAAAAAACAAACTGTACCACTAAAATAAACTGTTGGAGATGCTTTTAAACTCCGGAGTTTTTGTGATGCGATAGTTATATTCTAAATCTGAAAATTGAGAACAAATGTTTCAACCAAGTTGAAAAGCATAAATATTCAGGCCTAATAATTGGTGAAGATTTGAATTTTGAAAGTCATATAAATAAAAATAAAGAATGGATTGTACCACTGATGAGAGCAATCAGAAGAATATATTTTTTAGATACTCATATACAAATTCTATTTTGTGATGCGTATATTCTCTCTCAACTTAGATATCTCATTATAATTTGATCATCCTACACTAAAAGGCGTAAAAATATAATTCATCGTTCAATCAATGAAGCCATGAAGGAATATTACACATGGGATACCCCATTTTTGGAATTATACAAAATGTGTCTTTGAATCATTCAATACCCTTTAAAAAAGCCTAATTTCTATTTGAATTATATAAAAATCTCCTGAAAAGTAATATTAGAATAATGAAAAATTCTAAATTGCATGATCATAATACAAAAAGTTTCGATAATTTTCATCTTGATGTAATATACACTACCAAAAAAAAGAATTGTTTAGAATTTTTCAATAAATTGCCTGAAAAAATGAAAAATCTAAAACAGTTCATATATTTCCCAAAAACATCATAGAAAATTTTTCAGTTCAATGATGATCATCAAATTATAATTATTTGAATGTTGCTGAATGTTCAATCTCTATTGTGAACTTTATCGGTTCCTGCTTATAGATCTAATTTAAAAAAGTATTCAAATCATCATGGTTTTCATTCCAAACAGCAAAGATATCTTCAACATATCTTCACTAAACCGTTCTGGCGAATATCAACGAAACATTCTTCAAAATGTTCCATATATATTTTGCTTGAAATGGAAAATAAAGGGGAACTCATAACCATGCCAAATTCTTGTTGATAGAAATCATCTCCATATTGAAAATATGTTTTGTCAGTGCATGATTTTAAAAGTTCTAATATAGAATTAACATTCAACTTCGTTCGATGTTTTGAAGTTGAGTCATTTTCCAACCTGAAATTTGACAATTTGAAGAGTTTTATCAACAGGAACATTCTTCTTCTCTTTTTTTATGGCCCTTGCTTCCCTTCGGTGCAGTAGACCAAACAGAAACATTCGTGAAAAGATTTTCAACATTGAAGTTTATTTATGAAATGGGTTGTATTTTTCAGGAAACTGTTACTAATCCCTGATATTGGTTTCAAAATTTACAAAGAAGGTCGATAAAAAGTTATTTTCCTCCAGAAAAATTATTTCCTTAAATATTATCATTACGTTTTGGAAAGTTTAATAATCATGAATATTTTATATTATTCATAACGTTTTGATTATTGTAATTCTCAAATAGATTTCATACTACCTCCGGTTTAAAAGTCTTTCTCTTTTCATTATATTTTCTAGCACTGGCATCTTAACTAGAGAAAACCCATCTTTAAAATATTCTACCTACCTCATACCATTACTCAACTCTATATTTTCCTCAATAAACGTTGTTAGGCATTCAAAAGTTATCTCTTGTTATTTTCAACAACCTAATAGATATTGATTAGAACAATTAATCGAAATTAAAACATTCCAACAACTAGATTAAAACACAAGACACGTGCACATACCTTCCATACATTAAATTGTTTTCGGTGAAATCATCAGACACCTAAGACTTCGAAAATCATTCTTGTACAACAAAATATAATAATTAGTCTTTATTTACTTGTGATTTAATTTTTTTTATCCATTCCAGGCCGTAGCAGTTCTTTTTGTAGCAGTAGCCTACGCCAGTGCTAGTGGCATCGATGCCGAATACAGCATCAAAGGAGACCTTGAAGGTGCTCTTGGAGGACAATGGATCCCTGATGTCCCCGTTGCTGCCGGTCATGGTGCTATCGGATTGGGTGCTGCAGGTCTAGGATTGGGCGCCGCCGGTCTAGGATATGGTGCTCCTGCTCTAGGATTGGCTGCTCCTGCTCTTGGACTGGGTGTCCCTGCTTGGGGATTGGGAGCTGGTATCGGTTTGGGAGCTCATGGTGTTTCTAGAGGGTCGCTCGAAGGTGCTCTTGGAGGCCAATGGATCCCAGACACCCACGGCCACGGCAAATAGGGTTTTGGTGTTGATATGACTGATTGTGCCAATTGTTCTGTATAAATTTGTGTAAAAATATATTTTGAATACCTCAGTTCACAAAACGAGTTTTTCTTGCCCAGAAAAGAATTTGGTTACTACTCTATTAGAAAATATTTTCCATAAGAAAAATTAAACGCTACTAACGTGTTTTTAGAAAAAAAAATATGATAAAACTTTTGTCAATGATTGGGCCCAGGTTTTTACATTCGATTTGAAGAGGATTTTCTCATGAGATATTTTCAATTGTTATTGTTTTCTTGAATTTTCGTTACAAAAACAGCAAGGCAGCAGATTTTTTAGAGTTCACTTTCGAATAATATTTTTGAAAATCTTTTCCCATATTTGTTGTAAGATATTCGTTATCTGCTGCCTAAGTATAGAACTCGTTAGTGCCCTCAAAAGAAAGAACAGGTTGTTCTAGATTTTTCTCTTCAATAACGCTAGTAGTTTTCTATAATAAATTTCTTGATGTATAATCAACAATAGCAGGTACTTCATCAATCATTACGAAATGGGTCCAAAGTGTTAAGGATTCATATTTTGTGCAGTTCTGAATCTGTAAAATTCAACAACCTAATAGGTATTGATATATTTTGATTCATTCCTTTTAAGAATTTCAGAGTAATTCATACGACGCCATATACTTTTTAATTTTTCTGGCAATAACTCCAAGGTATAATTTCTGTTCATTTTGAGAATACATTTTCTTTTTGAGGTTCAAATAATCATATCATAAATTATTTTGTAGTCAAAACTTGAAGTTTCATTTGATCATATTCGATCATCTTGATGTAGGTCACGTTGGAGTCTGGCCGTGGACCAGCCTACCCAAGCTAAGGTGTGAGAAATCGTGCCGACAGCTGAATGGTCGCAGGGTGAAATGCGGTCACGAACGATCCCCTTGGGGAACTGGCCGAAACCTCAGTGTAATCAGCATACCTCTGGTAATGCGGGGCTCTGCCAGAGGTGAACAACTCTTTCCTTGCTACTTGTGGGAACACACATGAATGAAACAACAGAAACAACAAAAACAAAAACCAATCCTGAGGATGGACAGAAGTGCTCAATCTAAGGCGGTGGCTGGGAATGAATAGAAATGTCCACCACAATCTACCGCTTGGAATAAGGCTGGACATAGCAAATCACCTCCAAAAACAAGGGCACTTCCTGCGGCGGGCGCCAAGAGCTCCGCCTTGAATAAAGGCTGCCTCTGCAGGAAAGCTCTCTCACTTGTGCACCTCCAAGGAGGGAACCCCAAGAAGGTTGAAGAAGCTGCGCAACGACTGTAATATCGCTGCACCTTCCAAAACTTTCGCGGAGGCCACCGTGAGACACCTCAAGGTTGCCAAAGAGAGTGTGTGTTCGGCGAGTCTTGGCCTACACCTGCCAAAATTGAGGAGATGTCTCCTAGTGACCTGTTCACCTTCCTGGAAAGGACAGGATGGACGATGACCTAGGAGGACAACTCCTCGGGAGGATGTACAATGGGTCACATGTGACCTAAGTACTGTGAGTCTACACTCACCCTCCTTACTCTACAGATACTTGAAGGAGTATGTGGTGGATGGATTTCATCTTTAATTGTGGGCGTCATAACTGTCAATGTCATCAGTTGAAATATTTGAGATACTTAACATATTTGAACCAGTTCATTGATTAGAGCTTCTGTTCAAAATCTTAAGCTTAGCTACCAATCCTCATCGAATATGGTCAATTTTAAACTGACGTCAAAAATTCCATGTGGAATCATTTACTGGGAAAGGAAAGAATTGACACAAATCTAATGGCGCCAACAGTGGAATATAAAACGACCATTTGATCCTTATCGAATATGGTCAATTTTATAATAATTTTACTTTTATATGTTACGAAAGTCAAAAAAATTACATTTGTATGAATCGCTAACGTATTAGGAGGATAATGACAAAAAGTAGTGAATACTCAATGACTATTAACCGCTAATAGTATATAATATTTTATGTAAAAAAACTAATAAAAACAGGTTTATTCTTAAACTGTTTTGGACAAAAATGATAAAGGAAATGAAATCAGAAAAAAAAATTGAAAATGTATTTGTTATAGATATCAATCCACTAATGTACAATTGATATAGTAAAGTTTCTGAGTACCTCGATGTTCTAACAGCTTGGAAGCGCTAATGTTCTTCTGGAGCAGCTCCTAACCCACCCTTGCCATCCTTGAAATCCAGTTTCCCGTTCTACCTTCTTGGCACACATAGCATCATCCCTGATATTCTCGTTGATCAAATCTACAGAAAATATGTATCTTCTTATTTTAAGGAAGACTATCAACTATATTGTTTTTCAAATTCCATTAAGTACACATATATCTCATCAAATCTAGGAAGAGACTTGAGGATTCTCACAACCTACTCGTTCCCCTAACAGATCTTTATGACAAAAGAGGATATCTTATGGATGTCATCAATAAAGGAATATAACTTCATTGTTTGTTTTAATCATACATTGATCAATTAGGAAAAAAAAGCTCTTTAGCTTCCTAATTCTCTATCTTTATAGAAAAAAGTATTGGAAACCTCCAAAGAAATGAGTTCAGAATAAACTCTTTACAAAGATGTGTAGATCATGTATAGAATTAACTTTCAGATACAAACTGGAAATAAAAGCCCTCTCGAAACATCTATTTCCACATGAACATTGAATTTAACGAAAGAAAAAGTAGTTTCAAAAAAATTACTCTCATATGAACATTGAATTTATACGTATATCAATTTTTCCTATTCAGTTTATTCTTCAAACATTCGTTACGGACGAAGCATGTAAAATATGAAATAATATATCTTTTTTCGCCATGGAAATATTCACTGTTAACTGTTCAAAGTACACCCATAATGAATTTAAAAACAGAAAATATGGCAACATATATGAAAAGTATTTGTTAAATTATGTAGATGAGAGATTTCAGTAAAATAAATCTTGGTAATATTCATCCAAGGTATAATATGCCTTCTCAACATTTTACTAGATGAAGCATTCATTTGATTCATACCATTACCACTTTATGCCACCGATAAAACAAATTCACTCATGTAACGATAATAATACGTAAATAAATTGATGGATGTAGCCGTTATATATGGACATTTTCAAACTTAAACAATAAACTACAGTAACGTTAGTTACAAATAAAAGTGGTAAAAAACATGAAAATTTTCATTTCTCTTTTCAATACGTAAATACTTGGGAAAGAAAGTTTTTGGCTTTCTACTACTCAATCTTGATACAAAATAATGTATGATCTTCCTAAGAAAGAAAGGAACACATTATTTTGTATCAAGATGGAGTAGTAGAAAGTAGTAGAGCCGAATAATTTAATTAAAGTCGAAACGTCAGAGAGAATACAATTGTTTTTTTAGAAAAAAATTGATTCTGTTACCCAACCAACCCCTTTTTCAGCCAAAAACGTTCTTTCCCAAAAATTTGTCACTCCTGAAAATATAACCCTTTCAATATAAACAAGATTCCTTCTGTCTGGGATTTAATCGAATGAGTAAATAAATGTCATTATGATGTTATCGATTACATGAGTATATCAAACTTATTCCGTGACATAAAATCGTAATTTATGAATGAATTGTGTAGTTTTTTTCTCATAATATCATCCAGATTGGTGCTGAAGAGTCCTAGGGCAAGTGTCTTACGGCGAAACATCGATGTCCACCAGTGAGAATGACAGTGTTTCATGTAAGTGAAATTTTTACCATTCATTCGTACCATAGTATATTGTGTAGAAATCCTGTGAATGACATCTGATATAATTCCATAACGAATGTTTGAAATACAAACTGAGTGGCGGGTTGGCTGTCCTTGTTCATCTTTCACTGCATGAACCACTGTGCATGCTGTTTTTGGCGAGTGCATTGGCTTGGGATGTGTGGGTTGAGCAAACCGGCCATCGGAGGCCTGCTTCCACGTAGCCTCGCTGGATGAGTTTTTTTACCACTTTTATTTATAACTAACGTTACTGCAGTTTCGTCCTATATGGACATTTTCAAACTCAAACAATAAACTGCAGTAACGTTAGTTACAAATAAAAGTGGTAAAAAACATTGAAATTTTCATTTCTCTTTTCAATTCGTAAATACTTGGGAAAGAAAGTTTTTGGCTTTCTACTACTCAATCTTGATACAAAATAATGTATGATCTTCCTAAGAAAGAAAGGAGCACATTATTTTGTATCAAGATGGAGTAGTAGAAAGTAGTAGAGCCGAATAATTTAATAAAATTCGAAACGTCGGAGAGAATACAATTGTTTTTTTAGGGAAAAATTGATCCTGTTACCCAACCAACCCCTTTTTCAGCCAAAAACGTTCTTTCCCAAAAATGTGTCACTCCTGAAAATATAACCCTTTCAATATAAACAAGATTCCTTCTGGCTGGGATTTAATCGAATAAGTAAATAAATGTCATTATGATGTCATCGATTACATGAGTAGATCAAACTTATTCCGTGACATAAAAATCGTAATTTATGAATGAATTGTGTGGTTTTTTCTCATAATATCATCCAGATTGGTACTAAAGAGTCTTAGGGTAAGTGTCTTACGGCGAAACATCGATGTCTACCAGTGAAAATGACAGTGTTTCATGTAAGTGAAATTTTTACCATTCATTCATACCATAGTATATTGTGTAGAAATCCTGTGAATTATATCTGATATAATTCACAGGAACCAGGATGAACCACTTTGCATGCTGTTTTTGGCGAGTGCATTGGCTTGGGATGTGTGGGTTGAGCAAACCGGCCATCGGAGGCCTGCTTCCACGTAGCCTCGCTGGATGAGGGAATGACAGAATCATTTATAGTTTTGTTATTCCTTAACTGAATGGCATTCTAACGATGGTTCAATCCTAAGGTGTGTGTATCCGTGACGAGAGGATGAATGACACTGAGCCTATCAGCTGTCTCTACGGAACCTTCGAGATACTGGGCGCCCTCTCGTAGGCATCGCCTTGTCACGGTAATGCGGGGCTCTGCCGTGATTGACCTTATTTCCCTAGCTATTCGTGAGACTTTCATG